TATTATAAAATACAAATACAAACTACAACTGTTACAGTTAAATAACACCTTCACATCAAACCACATATGGTTATGAAAAAAACTAACAAGTTTCTAAACGTTTTAGTAATCAAAACTATAAATCATAAAAGCTTCATGTCGTAGAAAATTTGTTATTATGTTTGATTAAAAAGATGATGACAATTCTTGGTTTTTAAAAACACGAGTACAATAATTACGTAGACACATGGAACCTGAAGATGAGTTCATGCGTCCAAAATAAGTAGTTAAAGAAAACTTAGGAAGTAGATATAAAAAAAATAACGAGAGAACAAGCACACCGTAACTTAGTCTGCAATGTAGGCTACTTCAGAATTCTGCAACAGGGCCAACCTATCCGCTATAATTCGTATTGCTGTAACCGAAATGTTTCGTTAACGTCGTATAAATTTCTGCAAATAAGATATATCATGCAACCAGAAGTTAGTGTGCTGACAGACTGGGTTCTGGTACACGCCGAAAGACGTATGTACTTTACCGAATCGCACATAATGGTGTGGCTATGAGAGGACGATATGGCTCTCAGACGACCAACTATAATGTGGCATGAATAATGATACAGATGTGGCAGCGCACAGCACGGAAGAGGGAAGCCTGCATGACACACAACACATCCATCACGCTTCCTACGCGGGGCATCGATCCCTTGAACCTGGCTCAGCAAGCTTAGAGAAACGATTTTTCAAATATCCTCTCATACAGAAACCTACCAGAAGTTACTAAATGATACCACTCATATAACTTGTACGATTCTGTGGGGCTGAAAAAGAGGAATTAAATAATTCATTTGTCAATTTTAAAATTCCAACGACTTTCGCATGAAGTGGAGATAATGTGAGAGATGTACTGATTATATGTACGGTTACCATTGGTGGCATGGGTAGTCAGTGGGAAAACGGAAGGTCAGAAATTGACATATAGAAAGATCTGTGTTAATATTGTAAAGTGGCTTTGCGTTTTACGTTCCCTATGACAAAAATAGTAAAGCGTGTCCCCTAACCCTAAATTCTTTAGTATTTGTAAGTTATATTTCATTTGTATTTGCTAGGAAAAGTTTGCAGAACAACTTTACAGCAGTTATTCACCGCCGTCATTGCTGTGAAGGCGATAACGAATTCCGTAATAGACGTAAAATTTCTCGACAACCCGAGCAAGTATTAACTTCTCAGCACGAACCTGCTCCATGGAGTTATTCTGTTAGTGGTTTAGTTTCAGAATTCACTTAATTGAGTCATTTCTAATATCTACAGCTGAAAAAGTTAAATTTTTCAAATAAAAAGCCAGAAATGGATCATGGCTGAGCAGTGTAATGCGACATCGCTGAAATGGGTCACTGCTGATGAACAAGCAATAATATAACACTCACATACTTTGTGGACCATACTCCACGCCATTGAAGCTACTGAAAACATTAATTTTATCATAGGGTATTGTACTTTTTAAGGGCAGTATTCGGTTGTGTGCCCTTTGTACAGTACGCGTTAAAATCTAATTATATGTCACTACTTTCATTCACGAGTGTATGGATGTAGTGACCCATGAATTATTTATCAACCAGGACATTTCATTAACGAGACAGTTAACGGGGCAACATCGATGTTTAAAAATACGCCTATCTTAGCGGTTCTTAAATTTCTCTAGCTACAACATTTCGTAATCGGCAGCAAAAACTTTGGCCTTATTTGTTTCCAAAACAATTGGAATTAAAAGTTTTAAAACTCCATATGTTTGATAAAACGTGTAAGCTATTAAGTGCTATTTCCTACAGATATTAAAAAGTATTTATTTTATAATAAAGTATGGTTGAAAAAATATTAAGTGTCTGAACAGCTTAAGCAAATTCGCGCATGTCAGGTGGACAACTACCTCCAAGGAATGTAGAGGCAGTGAGTTTGTAAGGATGATTTTAAAATAGACGAGTGTATGGAAGGAAACACAATCGACAATATAGGCAACAAATACAACTTTTGTATTATCAATATATTCCATAAAAAGAGGAAAAAATTTCTTTTCAAGAAGGCTTCAAATTCATAGTTATTTCGTTCCTCTTGTCACGTAACAATATATGGTTCGTACTTTTTGAATGTACATTACAGAATTACTTTCGATCTCTTCCCAGAATATTGGCCTTTCGAACTTCATCTAGCCGAGAAGAACGCGAAAGGTAACCTGAAACATATTATACAGACATTATTGTACTTAATAAAGAACGACATCTTAACTATCACAGTAATTAGAGATGTTCTTGCCGATTTCACGACAAGAACTCGTGAACCATGCTGCAAAGTTAAACAACGTATGGTGTAAAAGTGTGAAGGTGTTTACGTTTTTTATGAAGAATTTGTTGAGTAAGATTTCAGGGTGTCACGAAGGCGACTATGAAGATAATTGTCTTTTTAGATGCTGTGTATTTTACACTGATAGATCATCACGGCAATCTTCCTGACAGTACAGGCAGCAACTACCTCTGAAACGTCGGTAAACTTCTGCTAGATTGCACGGCGCAATAACCCAGAAGACATCTTTCTTCGTTTATAAAATTGTTCAGAAGATTCGGCCAGTTTACCCTGTTCAGAAAATTAAAAATGGCAGACTCCCAAATCTTGCAATTCCTAACGAACCAAAAGGATATGCCTACAGAGATATAGAGCAGTGGTATTCAACCATTTTTTGTTCGCGTACCCCCAGATATAATTTCTCTTCCAAATTTGTACCCCCAAAGTTGTTGGTGCATAATTCAAGTTATACATAGTATATAATCTACATCTAAAATAAATTAAATAAATTACATTACTGATTATTCAGTGTTTATCATAATTTTTTTTTTTTAAATTTCACGTACCCCCTAAGATGTCTTCGCGTACCCCCGGGGATACGCATAC